CCCCAACGCATACCTAATTTCTTAACAGATTTTTTTTTTTCCCGACGGTAGGTGCTTTTGCTCCCTTTAAAAAACAACAAAACTCGTGCACGGAAGCTGGAGCGATAGTAAAGTTGACCCCCCCCCCCAATATAATTGTTATGGTTTCAAATTGGGTTAAAATACTGGTTTTTAGGTTCAAGGCTCCACACACCGTGTTAGTCCTCCAAATGTGAGCATTTCCTGTACCTGGATCTCTGAACCATAAACCGCAATTAGGGAACCCTGTATGTAAGAGGGAAACAAGATGGGAATTTCTTGTCTAGCTCCATATTTGGCAGTTAATATAACCTTAGACATGTGAACAAAGTTTCTAAGTAAACATTTAGCCCTTTTAGTATCCAATGTTATTTTGATGTCCAAAATTCTTGGTCTTGAAAGATAGATGGTATGATTAGTTTGAATTTAGAACTGGATTGTGTGTAGTTTCTTTGGTGATAGTACCTCCTGCCTTCTTAAATTTTTAGGATTAGTCATGTGTGTCCCTATGTTATAACAATCTTTAGAGGCTGTTTAATTCTGAAAGGCTATTGGGATTGTAGGGAGGATAAGGACCTCAAATGGGTTGCTTATTAAGAACTGTTATGGTTCAGGTTTTTTAATATTTGGGGTTGAAATATTAGTGATGAAGAAGTGTTAAGAGTGAAGAGAATCAGAATACTTGTGGGGTTCTTAGGGATCAGAAGTAGAAGAAAGAAGAAAATAAATCTTAATTTGGTAGCCTAAATGAGTGTTCAGTAGTAGCTGAGCAGCCAATTCTTGAGTTTCAGTAATATTGGCACTGTTGGTAGCAGGAAATAATTGCCCATATTTTACTTATGAGAAATCAAAAATGAAAATTTTGATAGCAGTTGTTGAAAATCTGTAAATAACTAATTGTGTGTTTAGATTCTTAACAGTTTCCTTATTGTGAAGAATTATTCCTGTTGATTCCCTGTTATCAGAATCGAAGATTCCTGGGGCGCCTGAGTGGCCCAGTTGGTTAAACATCCAACTCTTTGATTTCTGCTCAGGTCATGACAACAGGAGCCTGCTTGGGATTCTCTCTCTCTCTCTCACTGCCTCTCTCCCCTCAAACACACACTCTCTCAAAATAAACAAACATTAAAAAGAGTTTTTAAAAAAAATACAAACTTTTTTTAAGGATTGAAAGTTCATTCTTAGGTTTCCTTAAGACTTTTCCCCCACATTTTACACTGAGTTGATTTGGAGGCAGGGAATGACCCCCCCCCCCTTTATTTTAAATTGTTTTTTAATGTTTATTTGTTTTTGAGAGAGAGACAGACAGACAGAGGATCCGAAACAGGCTCCAGGCTCTGAGCTGTCAGCACAGAGCCTGATGTGGGGCTCGAACTCAGGACTTGTGAGATCATGACCTGAACCAAAGTCAGATGCTTAACCGACTGAGCCACCCAGGCACCCCACGAGTGATCCCTTCTAAAGGCTGGGTTTGATAGGTACAACTTGAGGGTTGCTTCTGAATTTAAATTCAGTAGAATTTCATCAGCAAACATGGCTTGGTTACATTACTCTGCAGTGATGGACACTTGATTAAGAGCTGCTAAGACAAATTGATTCTTCGCCCAGAACTCTGGACTGGCTTCAGAAGGAGTAGAATCAGTTTCTTGATGGCTGTGCCTCAGCTTATTCACATCTTTTAATTTCTAGGTATTTTACCTTATTTTGGTACAGCATTGTGGGTATTTTGGGATGACTCCTGGGTTTTTTGTCTTTTGTTACTGTCTTCTGTTTCTTAGCTCCTTCCAACGGTACCAAATAAGGTAACAGTTTGACTTAAAAAGAATTTTTTTATATTTTTGCATTTGTAGCTGTTCTTTTTCATTTAGCTGTTCTTTTTCATTTACCATTTTTTTTGTTGTTTTTTTGTTTTTGTTTTTGATTTTTGAGGGGAGAGGTACAGAGAGAATCCCAAGAGGACTCTGCTCTCTGCTCTGTCTGATGCCGGGCTTGATCTCACCAATCCGTGAGAATCATGACTGGAGCTGAAACCAAGAGTCAGATGCTTAACCAACTGAGCCACCCA